CATCCATCTTTTTTATAGTCACTCATACAAAATTTAGGATGTTTTTGTACCAAATGATAGATGGGCTATCTTTGAGACCTAGCATTTTTTTCAAAGAAGGCTGCAGGAAAAAGATACTAATGAGCAATATTACTTTGCAGATCATTGAAATACAGCATGCAACACGGGGTGCCCATTTTCCCTACTAGGTTTAGTGGTGTAATTAAATGATTAGCAACTTCAGGACGTTAAATGACTTCATGTAAGTAATTAATTAGTTCAACTAAGTAATTTAGCTTTTATGCATAACAAGATCCATGAGGTTCTTCAACCTGACAGCTGGAGTGATCTTGGTCTGTTTTGTTCTGATAGCGCCTTTGAGAGCTGTGTTTCTGAAGACTGAAGATTTGGTGTATGAAGAAATAGTGGTTAACAGCCGTGTTAAAAGTTATTAAGAAAAAGTTCTGTAGAAGTTGCTCTTTTGTGAATGTGTGGGAATAAATGGTTGTAATATCATGATATTTATCTGCATGCAGATGTCAAGAAATGCAGGGAGGCTGGAATCATGAATTTTCAATGTCAGTAGTAAGCCTTTTTGGAGAGGTTCCAGGTGCGTATGAGTAAGCAGGACTAGAAGAGAACTAAGAATATATGCTAATTTGTTTGCTTTGTGTCTTTTATCATTCTCTTGTATTCTAATTTCATTACCCTAACATGAATAATAATAAATCCTTTAAAATCACTGAAAATGCAGCTCACAGTTTCCTTTTAATCAGGACAGAACATGTTGACAAAAGTCCAGTGGATGATTAAGGTTTTATAGATCAGAGGGAGGTTTTCCTCTAGACTGAATGATACAATAAAATATTAATTTAATTAGCTGTTAAGGTATTTAAGACTTTCTGCTGGTTTGGAATGCCTTACATTTCCTGGTTTTGAGAAAAGGTAGCCAGAGTTTTTCATTTAGTGCTAATGCAAATTTCAATCTGGTACTATATCCTTATTTATATGACTTATATTTTATGCTCTTTCCTTTCAGCATTACCATTACTCTCAGAGGTTTCAGACAGCCATATGATTCAACTCATTATTGACACGCATTGCAGAGGCAAGCCATAGCCATAGTGTTTTTGACAAAATATATGTTTTTTCTGTATCCACTATTAGACTATATATTTTTTGTAATATTTACTCTATTATTAGCAACAGGCTGCCTTGTTGCTTTAAATCTGCTTATGACCCTCTCAATTAGCCTTCTGTTGCAATTGCTCTGAGGGTTTACAATACCTCCCCCATGCCCTTGATATTCAGGAGGGTTTCCAGGGTGAGGCCACCTCAGACCTCAAGGTGGGGGAGGGAATGAACATGCAATGCCTTCTACTAGTCCAGATGGTCAACAAGCTCTTTTAATTGTTAGCTCACAAAACAGAAGTACATTAATATTATTTTCTGGCTGTATGTGAAATCTACTTCTCTATGAGTGCATGTTTTGTAAGAAAAATAAAGTATATGGATGTCTAGATATTAATAAATATTTGGCATCTGTAGCAGATCTTCCTAGCCAGATAGCCTGGTGTTGAGGATTTACTCACATAAACTCCCTACTCAGGAATGTGGAAGTGAATATTTTTAACCTTCCCTACCCTATTCTTGTCGGTATCCTACTCACCTTTCCATTACTCCTTATAATCTGTAACTTTACCTGTTTTTACCGGCTTGTCCTGTCGGCAGCTGTCGGTTTGTCCTTGTGATTACTGGCACCTCACCACCTAAACTGTAGGTTGAACCAATAGGTTTCAGTACTGTTTCACCATGAAATTGTACCTAGTCTATGCTAACCCGAACAGACAAACCCTGTTGTGGGTAAAGAGCTCTAATAAAGAGAATTTCACCAGTTTGCAGACTGCTGAAACCGATTTCTCTAAAAACCTTGTGAAAATGCAGAAATGCTGGCTCTCCATTTCTGGAGTGTCGCTACACCGCCCTCTGGCGGCCTAACCTAATATTAACACTCCAGATCCAGCTACTCCGTTAAAGCATCGTTGTGATTAATTCACTCGTCTGACATTGGAAGCTGCATAAGCTTTACATCACCTCATTAGTGAGAGAGTTGATTTGGGACAGCTGATGAGGTGACTTAACCTGTTGAATGTAAAATCTGATGAAAATGAAGAAAGAAAACCGTAGAAACAAACCAAGATCGACCACATACTGAAAACAAGCCTTTGCACCTTTGGTATGTTGGAGGATGGACTAAGATAGCAAAGGAGAATTCACAGCCAGCAGTTCCTAATCTGGCTGAATGATATAGTCATACACAGTCCTTCAATGACCGGACACAATCTGGGAAATTTCATGACACCTTGCAAGGGTTGATGGAGAGGTCCATGTGTGAGGGTCCATAGCCAACGATGTCACCTCACTACAGAACTCCAGCTGAAGTGACTGATTGTGACCTGACTGCATAGAGCTGTATTCATCCTCACATACTGCCCTTCCTGCAGACTCAAACTCATGTGCCAACATTCCAGAAGGACAGTGCACGTCCTCATGCTGCTCCTTTAACAATGGCTTCCTGGTCATGCATATCCTATTGACCAGCCATCAAACATCTATGGGACAAGCTGGGCAAACGTGTAGTTTCTAAGGCTGTGATGCCTGTAAGCAAACATGTCTGTCCAGACTCTACAAGAGGAATGGAACATACTGTAATCCCACTCGATTCACATAAGATGCAAAGGATGTGTTGCAGATGAACTGTAACTTTGTACCAAATGTAATTTTGTACAGATGTAGATGCAGATACAGCTGCAGATGTAACTTTGTACCAAAGGCAACCACACAAGCAACCAATCTGTGACTTTCATGCCGAATCACGGTAAGCAGGCAGCACAGTGGATCAGAGGTTAACATTGCTGGAGCCCCTATGTTCAAATCCAGACCTGGGTTTTTTTGTGTTCTCCAAAGACATACTGATAGGTCCGTTGGCTTCTGGGAAATAGGGTCCTGGAGATAGTGTTTTTCTGTGTGCGCCCTGCAATGGACTAGCATCTTGATCAGGGTGTACCTTGCCTTGCGCCTGTTGCTTTCCTGAGATAGGTACTGGCTCCCCCTGCAACCCTGAATGGGATGAAGTGGTTAGAAAAGAGATGGGTGGATGTTTCATCAATAACATTTCACTGCACCTGCTACAGAATTCAGTATATAAAAATGATAACATTGTGTAATTGTTATGTAGAAATGATGTGTGTTTTGAAGTTCAATATATAATATACATAACAAGAAGCTTATTTAAATTTGAGTCTCTTTTATTACTTATATCTCCAGCTTTTTCTTTTTTGTTCACCTTCATGCCTGTTCACCATTATGCTTTGAAATTAATTTGGTGGAAAAAACATTTAGGAATGAAATGTGATTAATTGGACAGGTTATTACATTGCCCTGCAGCAACAGGACTTCAGAGACCACACTCACCCAGTAACTGGTTTCCATTATAATGCTGCTTCCATTTTGACTTTCCAAAGGTCCTTGAGCTGTAAAATGAGTTATTAGGTTAGGCAGGTGTTTTATATAGTAACGATTTTGTTGTACAGACAGTCCCTGGGGAATAACAGTAGGTTTCTGCACATACTGTACCTATTTTTTTACTCTAAGTGTTAAGTGCTGTAGATGTCAAAAGTGTTTGTTCTTGCATGGAAAAAGAACATGCATTAGCTGTTTGGTTGGCACAATATACACTGTGTACTGTACAGTAATTTGAAATTACTGTGTTTATTCTTCTTCTCAGAGTTGGGCAAACCTCAGATTTTCTTTCATTAACTTGTGAGACAGGGATGACTGCGGTACATTGACCTAAAAAGCATTCTACATCACTCAGAATCAGAATGAGTCTATGAGTCAAGGAGTCAAGACACTAACACACGTGTTTAGGTACTGTACCATGGTTTGATTAGGATTCCTAATGGCACCAATAATGAACTCGATATGAAATGATGGAATATGCTTGATATGAAGCTGTGTTACTCTTCGTAAAGTTGAGTGTGATTGAGTGAAGCAAAACAAGAGAACAGGCTGTAACTCATTGTGCCTGAATTATCTGGTAAAAATAAGTCCACCCTCTTTTCAGTAGAAGCAGCACCCCTTATTAAAATACAACCCTGTATTTCGTAGAGCATATAGTTGTTACAGGATCTATCTTCAAACCTTCCTTGTGAAAAGTTCCCCTACAAATCCATTCTTTCACCAGTCTAACAATATGTTGCACTGATGAATTGTGCTGCTCTAATTTAATTAATGTGGAAGTGACTGTTTGTACATGACTCTGGGGTGAAAACAAAAGTCCCATGAGGGATCCTGATTTTATCAATGTGAACAATCAAAATATAAAAAACAAGCAAAACAAATCTTTTATCAGACAAAACACCCTTCTATACTTAGGATTTTCAGAGCAGCTACAATCAGAATTCTGCTACGCTTGATCTACTAACCTGGCTCTACTGAACATGCTGTGGATCAAACACACCTTATATATAGTACTGTACATATTGTATGCACATTACATTGGAATTAAACCCCATGAGAAAACACCAACTTTCCACTCATTCAAATCTCCAATTACAGGTGAATTATTTACAGATATGGACTATTCTTATCAATCTTGGTGAATATCTCTTTGCTGGCCACTGAGGGTGCCCTCTCTGTTATTGTCCTCTGCCAAAGGGCTATCCACCACATAGTACTCCAAATCAGAGCTTGTGTTGGATAATTGGAAGGTGAGCCACATTTCAACCATTTTGACTTCATTAGGGCCATTCATCTCAAAGAGACCCCATACTTAATCTGGGTTTCAAGAAAGCTGAAAGCTGTTGAACCTTTATTTGTGTGGCAAACAACTTTGCAGTAGGGGTTAAAGATGGTTTGCTTAACAAAAACATCAGGACACCAAGGTAAAGAAATACAAAGCTATTTTTTCTAATTGCTAGAAAGATCTGGGTTGACTTTTTGTTTTGATATTTTTTCAGCTGGATAACCCAGATGAGCAGGCAGCTCAAATTAGAAGGGAGCTTGATGGACGCCTCCAGATGGCAGATCAGATTGCAAGAGTGAGTAAATACGATGCCGTTATATGCTAATGTAATTGCCATGCTGTTTTCGTTAATGTTTTATTTTTCATCTCGATTGATCCCAGTTACCTCGATATGTGCGATGTCTGAATAGTGAGCAACTGACTTGGCTCAGTCTTTAAGGCCAGGCCTCCAGGTCCATAATCTAACAGAGTTTGTACAGTAGGTCTCTGAGAATTGTCTGCACCTTAAGCCCCAAGAGAAAAAGTGAAGTCTGGTGTTGTTCACTCTTAATGGACCAACACAACTCCCCCCTTCAAAGGTCTTAAGCTGCTGAGGCTATAAACTGAAATAGACCTCAAAGACATGCAAGGCTTGCAGAGTGAGATGGTGCATAACTCTCAAAGGTCTTGGGTCCTGGGTTCAAATTTGAACTGTAGGATCAGGTGATCCAGTTTTCTCCCACCTTCATACAACATGCTCTGTTAATTTGTATGTTTTAAGTGTGTGTGTGCACCCTGCAGTGGACTGGCATCCCATCCAAGCTATAGCCCTGCTTTGAGCCCTGTACTGTACATCCAGGATAGGCCCTGGGATGCTGTGATCCTCCCCAGAAACACGCAGCTTTCTGATAATGAATAATGAATGGATCAAGAGTAAGCATGCTGGATTACAGACACCCTTGTGATAAAGTGACTGGAATATTTTACCCAAGAAAGCTTCAATCCAGTCCTTCACAGGCAAGTCTAAGTTTCCAGGTACTGACACCTTGAAGAGATGTTACCTGGTCCAGTAAAAAATGCTTCACTTTTTTTAAACCTCCACAGAAGCTGGTTTCAGCTGTTGAGATGTTTTATTTGGTTAAAAATTGATCTTCCTTTTGGGGGGGGGGGATGGAATCTCCTGTTTTGTTCTGTTCTGTTTTGTTTTGTTAATTGTAGTCAGATTTGTTTCTCCTTTTTCCTCGTAGTTTTAAATGCTGTAGTTGGTTAATTTAGTTTTTGTTTTATGTTTGGCCAATATCATCATATATTGATCATATTGATAGTTTCATATATTTGAAGAATGTCGGAAATACCCATAAAACACAAATGTACTAAGTGGTATACAACGGGGTTCTCAAACTTTGGTCATGTGGAAATAAGTCTAGCATGTTTTGTAGATCACCACTAAAACACCAAAGATTTAGAACAATTTCACTGTGATCAATTAAACAGGTTATTTGTTAAATTAAAAGTAATGTAGAGATCATTTAGTACCTAATTTTAAGTACTCTTCTTCAGCCCTCAGGGTCAAGAGTTCTCCTAGTTGAACAGATTACTTCCTTATTTCATCAATGACACCTTCACAGGTGTAGCCAATCTTTAGAACCCAGGGACATACTGTATGTTACTAGATTGTAGTTCTCCAGAACCAGGGATGGTAAATGCTGAAGCAGAAGCTTCAGTGTTTACTTTACCTAATTAAGCTTTTTATTATAATTTAGTATGCTGTTGTTTACATCAAAATAATATTAAAATGATATCACTTTTGTTATATTCAAAAAGTGGCAAAATCTGTTCAGACTAAACCACAAAATGTTTTTGACTGGTGTCTGTATCGGGGTTTCCAACAGTAAACCTTTAATCAGGCGTTAGACTAGTGTAATTTAGTATTGCAACACTAATAAAGTATTGTTACTTTTTTTAAAAGTATATAATATCACTTTGTAAAATAATTGTGAAGATGATGAAGATGTTTGCTCATTAAGAACTTTTCTGCTTTTTTGTTCACAGGAGCGCAAATTTCCAAAGTTTGTGTCAAAGGAGATGGAGAACATGTACATTGAAGAGCTGAAGTCCTCTGTGAATTTGCTCATGGCTAACCTAGAGAGCATGCCTGTGTCCAAAGGAGGCTCTGAGTTCAAGCTACAGAAGCTGAAACGCAGTCACAACACATCCATCATTGACATGGGCGAAGAGAATGAAAACCAGCTTTCTAAATCTGATGTTGTCCTGTCTTTCACTCTTGAGGTACCAGTGATCTGAATTATAGCAGATCATATTATTTTGGACTTGTAACACACAGCAACGGTTTGGAATTTCAGAAACTACAATTAACAGTATTTAAAATAGCAGCTGTTTTAAAGCTACTGTATGTGAGAGTGTTTTGTTTTGTGGAAAGAGCTCCCTTTAGACATGAGTATAAATTAAGTATGTTAAGTACTTAATGTTAAGTGAGATGAGCAAACATACTGGACAAAATGTATTTTTTCTCCAGCCTGGACATTGTGGAAAAAGATACAAAATGAGTAATGAATATGATAAAACTGACACAGTCATGCTTTCATCTTAGATGCTGGATTTGTAAAGAAGTACAAGAGACTATATTGTAGAAAAGTAAAATTATATTAAATTAATATGATATATCCTTGTCTCCTTATTCAAAGTACCACCTACAAAGGGTAAACCTGCTGTGGTCACATGTACAACCGCAATCACTAATAATACTACTGGTTTATTTAACATTATTTTATCAGCAACTTTAAATGACTAACACACATTCTAATAATAAACTGTCCTAATGCCATTAGTAACCTGCATATACTGTATAACCAGGTACTATATATCCACCCATGACTTTAATATGAACAATTGCATCTATAGAGTACTCAAATATAATGCCGAAAAACAATTTCACTTTATGATAAATTAACTTTGTGAACATATCCTTCAGAACTGTTTTCCCTGGCTGGTTTTAAAGCATAATTATCCCATCAGTAGTTCAATACTTCTGCGAGTGCCTGGTTTCATATCATATATTACATTTGCAATGATTATTGTGGTTCTGAGGCAATGGTTTATAGATGGCACCCATACAAAGAGGTTGATTTGTGGAGAACCTCCCCAATAGCAATTAATTCTGTTTATGTGTAACAGGCTTTAGTGCATTGAGCACATTGAGAAGAGAAGTCACCGGCTTGCAATCTAGACAACGCAGAATTCAGCTCTGATCAAATAAAGTACGGGAAACATAGGACTATTCTCACTACATTTCCTTTGTTGTCTCTTGTAGGTTGTGATCATGGAGGTCCAGGGTTTGAAGTCCTTGGCTCCTAACCGTATAGTTTACTGCACGATGGAAGTTGAAGGTGGAGAAAAATTACAAACTGATCAGGCAGAAGCATCCAAGCCAACGTAAGTGTGCCAGTGTCCCACCTTGAGCTGATACCAAGGTACTGATACCGTACTTGCTCTGCCACAGAAAATAGGATCATCTCTGAGCATCAATGTGTGATCAAAATGGGCATCATTAGAAAATATTTGAGCTCTATGCTGCTGCCAAAACATCTAGGAAAATACAAGCATAGGGGGCTTAATTAAAAGTTAAATTTAAATGGAGTTTATAACAAAAGTTCGGAGGGATGACAACAACCAAGCTCAATCAGACTCAGTTGTCAGTAATTAGCAATCGCTCCTGACAATCCATTCCTCTCCCAAATGCTATAAATACCTACGAGATCCCTATCTCTCTCTCTTGCATGTCTCTTGCATCCCACCTCCACCTCTGCAGCTACACCTTGGTCACACTGTATGGGGGTCCTGGTCTCCTTGTCCTATGGCTGGGAGGTCAGCCCTCATCCAAGCGGGTTAAAGCCACAATTTCGCTCCTTGACACTTTCATCTTGGGTGTTGTCATTCCTCGTGAAATGAAAGTATACTGGGAGCCCCAGTTTTCAATCTAGAAATCTGATAACCATTTTCTAAAAACCTCTAATTTCCAGCCCATTTAAAAATTAAATTACCAATTTTTAAGAAAGCAGAAAACATTCTAATTCTGCAGGAGAAGACCATTTGAAATATTTTATAGTTTTAGAAGCAGGAGCATACATTCCTGAGATCGCCATTTCAAACACAACTGAACAGTTTTAATCAGTAATGTCTATTACTGATGACACAGGCATTTGTTTGTGACTATGTAACTTACTGAGTTCCATATGGTTATTTAATTCTCTGAGTAAATTCACTGTTTTCCCTCACTGCAAATGTGGATATTACTCAATGTCCAGTATTGAGCAGGATCCAAAGGCATTAGAGCTTGCAACATTGATTTCTCCCATTACTTTAATTAAAGCATACAAAAAACTCCATCTGTATGAATTAAACAAGACCATCAGTACACTTTTTCTTCATTTTATCGATGACACCATTGCACCTTTGGGGCACACAGGAAAGTTCTACTTTAGTCACAAAATACCATGACGATTCCTAATATTCTGTAAAAAACTTAACAAAAAAGAGTATGGAAAAGTGTTCTCCAAAACTCAGTTATTACCCACATCAGTCATTAAATCTATATAATGCAAAAAGCACAGTTCCTTTTATATCACAAAAATTACAGAACATGCAGAAAGCATTGTTTCTTTCATATCTGAAAAACTACAGAACATTTAGGAAGCATTGTTGTAGCACTGTTCCTTATCAATGGCGCTACTGTGATCACTGTCTTGAACCTCCATCATTGTGTGAAGGATCTTGGCTGTAAATTATGTGCTCTCCTGCCCACCAAAACATTCTTTTGGACTACTGGTACAGTATATAATGTAGTGACATATGTAGGTGGCAACATTGTCATTTTATATTTTAATGCACATGTTCTATTTAAATCAGTGTCTGAGGTTGTGACTGTTATAGAAGCAGTATTAAGTTTTTTAAAAAAATGTCTCCTCCTTTTCAAATGGATAATTAAGTGAACCAAATCAATTGGAGGACAGACTACAGAAATGCATTCAAATGTAGAATGTGAACCCCCAAGCATTCTTGGAAATTGCTTTAATCTGCTGTGCAATTTTACCTAATCTGTTATGCATAGTGTCTTAAAACAGCAGCATGACCCTTTTTTTCCTGGTACCATGTGAATGAGCACTAAAGACATATCCCCAGCGTCTTATTGTGAGCACAATTATTGTAGATGTTTGAAAATTAGTGAGACTGCATTTTTTTGTTTGTGTGTTTGTGGGGTAATTTACAATCATATACAAAAAATGACCAGCATGGCTTTTAATAGTAATATTAACAAGATTTAAAATAAAATAATGGTGGATTTTAAATACACTTAATTGGTTTGTTCTACAGTCTTGGTATTTTTAAACTATAATCACCAAAACCATTGTACTGTAGGGGACAATTGAAATAGATTATAATACACTGAACTCAGATGGAGGTTCAATTTTAGTTATTGGGTGCAAAGATCTGTATTTAAAAAAGAAAGCTGGCTGATACCTACAGTATCTGGCCAATACAACTCTTCATTGACTCTGAAGTCCCGATTCTCAGCGGAGTGACTGTAATGGTATGCAACAAAAGGGCCTACAGTTTGTGTGCTATGATGTTCAAGGGTAAGTTTCAGAAAAGGAACATCAGCTTTTTAGGTTTTAACTACAGTAGATTATAAAGGGAAGTACAGTTTATATAAAATCTGATCCCTTAGGAATACAAAGTGCTGTACGTGGGCTGCTTTTAACTGGATGTAGATACCAATATTCTGTTTATTCTTAGTAAGCTTTTTATCATTTGAAACATTACAAAGATATACAGTAATGGTATGTAATATAACCCGTTTTCTTTTACAATGCTAGGGTTGCTAGGAATGTGAAAAATGAATTTGATTTCATATTACACCATTAAAAAAACACCATTATTGCTTATTTTGATTATTATTGATTTGCTATACAGCAACATTTGAATACATAATTACACATAATGTAACTAACAGAATGTAAATTTTAAAAAGGGTTATAAATATTGTACAGAAGTTGTATACTGGACTACAAACATTGGTTCAATTGCATTTTTGCAAATGACTCTCAGTATATTTGAATATACTGTAATCATTTAGTATTATAAATGGTAACATCACAAAACCAAACTATGCAGATTAATTCTTTGAAGACAAGTGTTTTTAACATTATTTAATGACATTTCTAAAGATTATATTTGAATGTTTTCTCCAAAGCACTGTTATTACTGAACATAAAGTTTATAACTTATTTTATGAGTCATTCAAATCTTGCGAATTCCTGGACTGCCATCTACAGGTACAATGTAGAATTGTTCCTAAATTGCAAAACAATTAGAAATGAAAAACTGGTGCAAATAATTGAAATACAGCTGTACAAAACAGCTCAATGTGATCATTGGGCTTATACTCATTAGGTTTGTTCAAAGACTTCAAAATAACAGTGCAGTAGTTCCCAATCTGAACCAGAGAGCAACCCCATATCACAAATGAAACAGTTCTCACCCCCTGTGCTGTATAGCATAATCAATCTCACACAGTGGCTTTGTTCTGAAAGAATTTACTATAGGAATGTTTACCTGCTCTTCTGCATTCTTTATTTAGTTTTAATAAATAATTCAATATTTAATCAATATTTGTGCAATCCATTGTTTATTATACTGTACATTTCACTTTAATTCTACTTTACATCTGTAGAGGTTAATTGAATTGAATGTGATATAACCATATGTTTGTTCCAATGTAAAAACAAGTGTTTTGAAGAGTTCAGTGAAACAATATGAAATTACTTCAATTAATTCAACTTCTCTTAAATTTCTGTCCCAGCTGTGGACTCAGAACACTGTACCCCACCCTCTGAGTGAGAGGGTGTAATATGTCTCACACACTACAAGACATAAGTTACATAAAATGATATAATCAATAACTACTTTCTATATTTGAGTTATTAAGTTAAATACTAAATGGTAATTCTTAGCAGTTTATTGTCAGAGAATCAGTGTAGTTCATTGTTAGTTTAGGCAATTGTCAGATCTCCCAAAGCCCTTTAATGAAAGATTTCAAACTGTTAGTGTCAAGTGTCTGCGATCTTTATCCATAACATGTCTTTTCGAAAGAAGAAAGTCTGTTTCATGATTAAATGAACTGTGCTTTTATTTAAAAAAGGGAGTTTTAATGACAAAATGATTTTAAAAATGTGATGTAAAATTAAAAAAAAACTAAAAATGCTGCTGGTTTTCAACTGCTTTTACAAAATTCTCATTACGAGGTTATAAAACACAGGTTCTAGATATTTAGAAATATCTTCATCTGTCTAGCATATTCCAATAACAATTTCACGTCTTGAATTAATTGGATGTTGCAAAGATATTTAAAATAATCAGAATTACAATCTTCTGTGTGTAGTTATGTGATAACACTTAATGGAAGCATAGTAATGCAATGTCTTCACTATCAAGAGACCTTTCTTCATACTTCCCTGAAAGAGGATGTCTCTATTATACAACAACGGTGATATTCAGTAGCTGCAACAACTAAATTTGGTTTTCAGGATCCACACTTTGTGGATTCCCACAAATGAAATATTATGAAAAAACATTGTTAAAGGTTTGTAAAAGTTCAAAGGAATTAACTCAGCTCAGCACACATTGCTCAATTTGAAAATGGCTTCCAACAGACCGCGCAACACAGCCTGGGAATCTATTAAAAATATATTTACAGGAAATTCTCCAAAATACGACAGTTTGCCTTCGACACAGGGGTAATTTCTTATATGCTTGCGAAGAGCGGGTTCAAAATCGTTCTCGATAAAAGCCAAATACTGGACATTTTTTCTCTTTCCTAATACAGTGGAAAAAAACACTCCGTGTAAACTGATGGTGGGAGCAAAAAGATGCAGGGGTCACCGTCCCGTTCTGTTCTTCCCATGCTTTACGGAAGCTAAGGCTGAAAGTGCTAGTTATTGTACGCCTTCTTCCGCACACGTTTTTGTTTTGCAAATTATGCAAGAGCATCTAGTCTACCCTTCCGATTTGCAAACAGGCGTTAGTTGACTCTAGCTAAACGCATTTGTTGAAAGTGATGCAAAAAGATGACCTTATGATGGTACATGTATAGTACTTCAGTATCACCAAGATTTTCAATCCTTAAAACAGTCAGCAGTCATCTAAGCAAACTAATCATAAAGGTCAGCAGTCTAACCTGTTATGCAAAATAATTAAATTATATTTCTGGCGAGCGAGATACGACAAAAATCAGGTGCTCCCCAAGACAAGACGGCTTGCTCTTTCAAACAGGACTTTATATTTATCCAACACCGAAGAATTATATTTTACATCCTGTGGAGAGGTAATTTAGCCGGTCCGATGCCGCAATTTCCATTTTCAATGTATATTAAATT